GATTTAATTTGATCACTGTCTCACAAGCACCAACATGTGCCCTGATGATCTGGGCAGTGTCACTTCTATTACCAGAGGTAGCCAGGAGATGACAGCTATGCAGTTCTCATCATGCCTCTGAGGTTCTTGGCAGAGCACAACAAACCGCTTTTGGACTCCCCCTTTACAGCCTTTAGAGAGAGGATGATGTTTTGGCTCCTTTTCCCTTTTATTTTGCTCCTTTTAGATGAAATTCCCGAATCAGTTCTTTTGTTTTCTCTATCTGGGTGTTTTATGGCTCCCACCCTCTGGAGACTCTTATCTAAGGTCAGTTTATTCCTGCTCTACATTTGAATGAAGTCAGACACAGGGTGCTCTAGAGCAATCAACACATGCCTTTCCTATTAACCCTTGCTCTGCTGTTTCTTCCAGGTGCTTTCACACACTTGCACATTCCCACTCCTATGTCTTGCATACCAAACTTAACATTTCTACTACAAATCTCTGCAACCCGAGCACCTTGCCTACAGCTTCAGCACGGTTTGTGCAGCCTCCCTGGAGCCTGGTGAATTCCTCGTTTACAGAGAGGTGCATTTTTGGTGGAAGGGATGGGGAAGGGCCTGAAAAGCCTCTTCCCTCCCCAAAACAATCAGTCAGTGAGGTCCCTGCTGTGGGAGAGGAGATGCCCCCAGGCACAGGAACCTTTGGAGGTTGCTGCAGAACCTCATTGATGGTTCAAAAGAGGCCAGGACTGGAAATAAGGCTACAACACAGGTCCAAAGTTCACCCAGGAGATGGAGATAGGACTGGAGGCAGGTATATCTACTACGTCGGTCAAGAGCCATCCGGCAGACAGGGTTGGAGACAAGGTCACAACCTGAGTCCAGTAGCCATCACGAGGCCAGAAACAGAGCTGGAGACAAACTACCTACAGCAAGGGTCCAAGGTCCATCCAGGAGATGGCTGGAGATAGGCACACTTACAGCATAGTCCTGGCAAGGGCAAAAGGCTCAGGCTTGAGCTTAAATAGGGCTTCTGGACCCATGGCCGCAGTCTGAAGAGAGGTCCCTGGTGAGGCTGGTCAGGGCAATTAAGGCTTATGCATGCACTCGGGGCATGACAACATGAGCCCATTTGTAGGGGAGTCAGTGTATAATGCTGGAGCATGCTAGAACAACCTTTCTTAGAGGTAGCCTGGTCGCTCCAGACAGGGACATACGTTCCAGCACACTTTCAGCAGCCTGGAGAGATCACAGCAGCAATCAGAGTTTAACTTTTTGCCTGAGTAATGACCCCTGCTTAAAGCTTCACAATTGTTTTCCTGTCAAAAGCCTAGAATAAACAAGCAAGACAGAGGGTGAGTCATGCAGATTCTGGAAGGAGGACATGTGAAAACACCGATTTCTCTCATACCGACTGAGCACGCACCAACCAGTGAACCACTTTCACCTTAACAGCTCTGGGAGAAAAGGAAAATGGAAACGTTGACATCAACCAGAAACAAAAGTACATACATTTGACACCCTGATCGTGACTGCGGGTTGTGGTTTAAGCGGGCAGAGGAAGGTCCTACTCCAGTAAACAGTGTAGCCCAAAGATATACCTGGTTACACACCCACATTTTCAGGAACCTCAGTAGGTAACTGCGAGCTATCTCAGGTCTGTCCCCACGGGCTGCAGCAGAGAGTGGCCTGCCAGGGTGACAGAGGACAGTGAGCTGTTTGGCACCATAGACAGCAAGAAGGCTCAAAGAAGCACCCGTGCCTTGATTTGCCTATGAAAAACCTGTGCCTGGAGCATCCTTGGATGATCCAAGAATGTTCCTGAAGGTCTTCTGGGCAACTCTGATCCACAGCAACCAGAAGGAGCTTCAGGAGGAGAAACATCCAGGGGTGGGATGATGGGGAAGGGCTGGTAGATGAAGTCAGCCCTCTCATTCTGCCAGGTGGAGCAGGACGGTGTGAGCAGGAGTCTCAGGGATGGTAAATCAGGGCTCCAGCATTCTTTGTAGTGTAGGAAGCTATGCCAGCACCTGGGGCAGTGAGGGCCTTTACGTCATGACTATGTCGTAGCAGACTGCTCTGGGCAAAGAGACTTGTCTGTTTGAAACACACCTTGCAGCAAGGATGGAGATCCTGGGCTCCTGCTCTTCCAGGCTAGAGAACAGATTATGTCCTCCCAGTCCTCTGCTCTGCCAGACTGATACTCCACATTTTACAGTGAGATAGCTTTGGCAGGTGGGACAGGACTCTTCCACAGAGCAGTCCTTATCCTCTCTGGCAGAAGCGAAGCCTGAACACTTCTCATCTCCAGAGAATGATGTAACTATTGAAAAGAAAGGACTTTGTCCCCTTCTTTGGCATCTGTGTAAGGTGGTTTTAGCAGGTTTGCTCCACAAACTCTCTCTGTTCCACTAACTGGGGAAACACCTCATTTGCAGATTCGACTGGGGTTTAAGTGCCTCACAGCCAGCCAGGTGCACAGCCCTGGCCAGGCTCAGGAAGACTTACCTAAGCCCTGAAACAGAAATGTGATGGTAAAGTAAACTTTCTGCATGCCACCTGGCTCCACAGAAGCTGAGCAAGCTTTTAGCAGGCCCACATTTCAAGCTCAAAGTCTTGAAGTGCCAGTTCAGCACTGAAGCCTTGCAGACCTAGTAATTCTAGTTTTGATTGCTGCACCTATCTCTGCTACCCTTCTCCCTTGACCCGTGAAGGCAGCTGCCATACTCTTCATTTCCTGATTTTAAAACTAGCCATTCCTCCCCATCATGCAAGCAAACCTTGAAATATTTACTCTAGCACCAGTTTGCTTTATGATCCAGCTGCTTCCTTATCTCCTTTTCTCTTAAGCATGTTTTTGTACCTGTGTCTACTTTTCCCCAGCACAGAACACATTCCTCTTGCTGGACACTACCTCTGCTGCCTTTCTTTCCGCCTCCCTCTTCTTGTGAAGAGACATTCTTTTGCTTTGCAGTCACAGTATGAAGCCAATGGTTCAACAAAGCCCTCCAACAAACCCCAAACTTGCAAGAAGAGTCTGGAGCATTTGGTGTGGTGTTTTGCTGCGTGTTGGTCTAGAACAGAAAGCCCTGCCATCAGAGTTGCTGTGTATGAGCTTTGAAGTCTGCTGTCCCACACCGCAGCCTCGGTGAGGAGGTGGGAGACATGGGCTTAGACCAGCAAGCTTTCAGAAGGGCTTTCTTACCTGGCGCATCTTTCACCATAGCAAACTGGTCCCCAGTCACTCTGCTCACCTCTTCTGTTTGCAGCATCCCGTAATTAATACTGTCCCCACCCAGCCATTTCAGTAGTATTGGGATGACTCCAGATCCTGTGGTGAGTTGTCCCCTGTGTGACTCTTAGGTCCTCTCTCTTCCTTCCTGGCAGCAGGCAGGTCCTCTCCAGGAAATAGTGGAACTGGTAATGTTAAATTTGGGGGGGGAGGGGGAGGGAGAAAACCAGAAAGCTGTAGGCCCTTCTGTACTTCTCGTGGGGATGAAGGAGTCTACAAGACATGGAAGGAACAGGAGAGCTGAAGCTATGCCTTCCTGATACCCAGAAATTAAATCTCAGGTGCTGCACCTCAAAGTTGAGATAAATGCTGTGAAATTGCTCACATGTAGGCTACAAAAAAACAGACTGACTCCTACAGGCACAACCTGAACTCAGTCTGTATGAGACAGGGGTCTTGTGAGTGTATCTGAACTACAGTTGCTCAGGCTACCACAAAGCTGAAACTTCCCAGTTTTTTAGCGTTTGATTTGTAAACCAGAGAATGAAACAGTGCCAGCAGCCCGTTCCAGTGGAAGATATTAGACCACAGAAACACATTGCTCGCAGTCAGTTCCTGCTAGAATAACTGGCAATGACAAATAAAAATGAGCCATAGGAGAGAAAAGGGAAGTGGGGATTTGCAGGCACGGTTTTGTTTTCCAAGTAGAGAACTCAGAATGCATTCTGACAAGACAGGAGCTGGAATTTCTTCTGACAGATGCATTTGCCAGGAAATGCTGATTCTGCAGAATTAAACCCATCTGTGGCATACAGAGTTTGTCAAACCTGCTTGCTTCTTGCTACCTCACCAGCCATCTCCTCCATTCCCAGGCTTCCTTGACAGTCAGCTTCACAGGGTCCCTCCCCCAGTGCCCTCCCTGCAGCTCATTTCTTAGACGACTTAGCTATTTCTGTGGGACATACTGAACCTGGGCCACTCCAAGAAACCTTTCTGGGGGACTGTCCTACGCTCTGAAGGCCCACCCTGGCAAGCAGCCCAGGCTGTCCCGTGCCACCCCAGCTGCTGGGCCCTTGTACCTTCAAGCTTCCCAACCCTGTATGTCTAATCCCATTAGGCTCTGGTAAACGGCTAGGGAAGTTGGTTGCTTGGGTCTTGCATGGGGGCTGTGCATGTGGAGGGGTTATGCATGAAGAAGGGTGTCATGCATACAGGGGTCTTGTGCATTCAGGGGTTCTTGTACACAGGAGATCGGTGCACGAAGGGAGTCCTGCACACAGGCGTTTGCACATGCAGGGCATGGGTACGTATAGGGTGGTTGTGAATGTATGGGGGTGGGGTGTGTTCTCAGGGGATCTGTGAATGAAGATGCATGGAGGAGGGGAGGGAGGCACGAACGCAGCAGGTCCTCTGGATGAAGGGAGCCGTGGATGCAGGGGGTTGCACTTGGAAAAGGCTGTGCAGGAGCGGCGTCCGGCATGCAGGCAGCCCTCCTACTCCCATCTCTTCCCTCAGGGAAATTAGAGAGGACCCGAAAGGGGGATGGAAAAAACACTTGAGGCAGGGCCGGGGAGAGAGCTGGCTCTGCTCCCGGGTGGTTCTAAGCCCCCTCAGCGGGCCAAGCGCTAGCAAGCACAGGCGCCACACAGACTATCCCCTTCCCCGGCCCCGGCTCTCCGGAGCGGGGAAACGAAACCAGGCGGGGCCGGGGTAGGCGGTGGGGGAAGGCGGTGCGGGGCAGGGGCCGGCCCGCGGGGCGGGGCCGCTGGCCTTTCCCCACCCCCGGCGCTCGGCCCTGCCGCCAACCTTGTGCGCAGCCAGCCGCCCTGCGCATCTCCGCTGGCCCCACCATGAAGGCGCTCCTGTTCGCTGTGCTGGCTGCGGTGCTGTGCGTGGAGAGAGGTAAGGGGGGGGTGGGTGGGGGGTGGGGGGGATGCCCCCGCCACCACCATCTCTCCCCGAGGTCCTCCAGTCCTTCCCCAGCCCTGGGTTTGGGAGCAAATTGCGGGGGGAGGGGTGTGCTGCGTCTTGCAGGGTGAGCTCTGGAAGTTGGAGGTTTGCGGG